ATGACGAAGGACAAACTTTCCCTTGGTGGTCAAAGCAGTCTATCTTCAGCTTCTTCGTTTCCGTATTCGTCTTCGAGCACCTTCGTTCTTCGGCTACGGGAAGAAGAAGCAAACCACGGATTCGATATGCAATTTAGCGACATTATTGACGAAGACATCCGCAATAAAGTTATAACATTACTCCCATTTTATCCATCTTATCCTCTTCTTTATCTCGTTTATGTACTCGTTAGGAGTGATCGTATGTTGAATAAAGCTCAAGACTTTCTCGAAAATACAGACCGAGACCGGGCTCAATACCTACCGATTGCTTTTATGACAGATCTTGAGGATATCAAGGACGCTGAAATGCGCGACAAAGTCGAAAAAATTAGGACAATTATTTCATTCGTAACTGTCTGGTGGGCTTATTATGCCTTGAAAGTTTGTGATGGGAGTTTGAATTGTGCTACTATGCTATTACTTGAGAACATCATCGATACCTCCAAGGACCCTGTGACGCAGGTAGCTTCAAACACCACTACTCCTGTCAGCTCACCAATGAGTTCTAGGAGCAGTGTTAACGTGCTTTTGGGACGGCTGATGGATTCGCAGTCAGATTCAGATCACCTGGTGTCCGATCGTACGACACCTAGTCCGAATAGTGGCAATTCGTCGTTTCAGAATAAGCCGTCCTCTCCTGAGGTATTATCCCAGACACCAGACTGTCCATTCATCAATATAAGCGATGATGAGGAAGGCTCTACAGAAGAAACTGCTACTATGAGTTCCAGCCCTGTTTCAAATCGACGAGTGGTATCTATCGACAAGGGCAAAGGCGTGGACAGGTCGGACCCTGAGGATTACAACTCCGACATTGATATGAGCGGAGTTCCACCCTTCAAGGAAAAGTTCCAAGCAAAGAAAAGATATGAGAAACAAACTAGCAACTGCAAGTTCTGTGGCAAAGAACTAGGAAACTGGTTAGAGCAAGCCGGCCACGAAAAGTCATGCCGTGTGAAGGCAAGACAAGTTTGTGTGAAGTGTAAGAAAGAAGTATCCAAGTCGAATGTCAGAAGGCACGAAGCCAGATGTGATGGTTGCCGAACTTCAAGACGCGATGGCCTGGAATTTGAAGAGCGCGATATGTACACAAAGCCGTCTGTTACTCACAGTTCTACAGATTTCGAATCGGAAGACTCTCCTACACAAGAGCAGTTGCAAAAAGTAAAAAGAATGCAACAACTCCTTCCTCATCTTTCGGTTAATCAGTGTATCGAATCCTTAGGGTTGTGCGATGATAATGTCGAGGATGCCATAGGGTTGGAAATGGAGGCATCGGCATCGGGTGAAGAAGAAGATGACCGAGGTACTTGCAGCCAACAAATTAGTCCGACGAAGAGAAAAATGGGAAATCTATTGGTAGGTCGAGCTTAGACTATAATAATTTGAGGTAATTTCTGACAAAGATTAGGAGGAGCGTGTCACCAAAAGGTCTCGTATTCAGGTCAATGACAAAGAAGCAAGTTTAGAGCCTGCAACCCAATGGATTAAGTACGAGCCACCTTTTATTGGTTAAATGTTTTGTGGACATTCTAATCATCCTTTACAGAACTACCTTTCTTGGTCTTTGTCAGGACTCAACCAATATTACTCTTGTTCATCTTGCTGGCCCAGAAAGCAGAAAGGTTCCGACGAAGCTTATTTATGACAACGCCAAAACTTTGAAAAATATGATTAGCCGGGTAGATAAAAAAATAGCACCACAAGAAATTTCTCTCCTAGATGTCGAACCAACTCTTTTTGATGCCATCATCCAATACGTGGTCTGCCGAAACGCCTCATTTGGTTCTCACTTGAGCCCGACACAGAAGATCACATCAATTGTAAATTTTCTAGTCCTTGCAAACAAACTCAAAGTTGTAGGGCCAGCGACTACCATGTTTCAAACTCTTGAAGCTATCTTGAAAGAAGAACGTAAGGGTCCTTATCCCCCAAGCGTCCTAAAAGTCGATCATGTAAATAAAGTATTCCTGACTTTTGGGGCTGGTCATCCCATTCGAAAATTGTTTGTTAGGGCGTCAGTACGACCATTTCTCAAAACTAAAAACGAAGATATTACTGATGAAGAAGATTCCGACAATAACAGTGAAGTGGAAGTGGGCAATATCGAAAATGATGGAAACAAGCCAGCACATCTTGCGTGGAAGTTGAACAACGATTTCGCAATAGCTTTATTGGCAAAAGTTCACGAGACCACTAGCAACAGAGAAACGAGACCCACAATTAAGAATAGTAGGAATACTAAGAATCTTAGCGAGTTCTTTAAAGATCCGCTGGATAGTAGCTGGTTTACTCTTTGAGGAACCTGGAGTTTCCTTCAGTGTGATGATGGCTCATTTCATGCGCTTCTTATGGTCCTTCGACTTGGTCTCGTAGCTCAGATAGTTATTTCGGCTCATTGCCGAAGTAAAAGCTAGGTACGTGTTGAGGTTGGGATGAAGTTATTACATTCAAATGTTCTTACAGTGTTTTCACTGTCGGATCCCTACCCTTGTGCATTATTACTTCTTTGCTGGGTTAGGGTGGGCTATGGCTTGGGCTTTAATTTTGGGTGCATTCGAAGATGATATCTTGAGAATGTCATCTAACCTGTTCTGACCTGGCCTGACCTTCAGCTCATGCAGCAATATTTCCATTCATCCAACGGGAATCCTCTTCGCGTCCATCATTACTAATTTCCACACAAAAGATTCGCGGAGCGGAGATATGAGAAGGTAGATACGAGACGAAAAGTTCCAGCAATTTATCATTCACATATCCTCCTCTCATTGAGCGGAAAATAGAGGAGCGGAAGTCCCAATTTTCTGGTGGGAAATCTGGGGCGGGGTGGAGCGGAATGTAATTGCGTAGATATAGGGACATAAGCTGATGCTATAATGAAAATGGTGATGCTTGTTATTTATATATTTTATTTTGGGATGTATTGTGATTGGTGTGATGTGAATGTTTATGTGTTTTCGTTGCGTACGGAGTATATCTTGTGAAGAGCTAATGGAAGGTTGATATTCCATTTTGCTTTTTTCTTCTCACCTTACCTCACTCCCTCGCTGATATTCAATTTATGTTGAGCATTTCAGTATTCAATTCATTTATGATCAGACTGATTTGCTGTGCTATGGAACTCTTCATCCTTTATCATCGCCTCATCCCGCATCAAAATTTAAACCCTATAATTTATTTTACTTTATGTTACTTTATATAATATCGCAAATATACATAAATCTGACATCTACCCCATACCTCGAGGATTGAAACTTGAGTTAGGAGAGGGATAGAGAGAAGACTCTTGAGGGTGAAGGTTTAGCTTTTTTGCGATATATTTAGGTGTATGTTCGTGTTTATTTGTATGTGTATGTTCATAAAGATTCGATCGTATGTCAAGTTGGAAGTATTTGGATTTGATGTATATATTATTAGGCGGGTAGGTACGTGGGTACGTGGGTAGGTAGGTAGGTAGGTAGGTAGGTAGGTAGGTAGGTAGGTAGGTAGGTAGGTAGGTAGGTAGGTAGGTAGGTAGGTAGGTAGGTGATAAAGAGTAGGAGAATCTTTATTAGAGGTTTTTTAGAAGGGATGATAGGTGAGAGGAGAGATGCGGATAGGGCAAAGTAAATCTAGGCATCAAGTGCATTTTTCTCGATATTCAAAACTGGGACAACCGTGTAGGTATATGTTTAGTTGATATGGGATAAGCTATGGAGGATAGAGATTGAATGGGCGTATGAGAATGATGATATGGTTACGAACTTCGCTAAAAATCTGTATCCGGCATGCTTGCTATCGAGACGAAAAGAAGACGATGATCATCACACTTAGATTTCAGCTGATTTGTGAACCTTTCGATCTTGCTTTTTTCTGTGTTGTCCTATGATTGTGATATTGTAGACTTGACGAAAGGAAGGAAAATAAACAGTAAAATGGAAGGAATAGAAGTAAAGCGAGAATGATAGTCTGTCATGCAGGAAGTTCGCAAAGTTGTAAGCTTTTTATCTCGAGGACTTGGATAGTTCTATCACTAGATTGAAACCATGAAACCCAGGTCTAAAGCATCTCACATTGCGAGTCCCATAGCTGTGATGTGACCTTGGTCTTCGAGACGTAGAGCCACTACGATTCTCTATATCACATCAACCTAATATTGCCGAAATTGCAAAAGCGAAATCAACGCTCCTTATAACATCCAATTCTATTATAACAAAAAACACATTGAGGTATCATTGCTCTTCATCCCCTTTTCGACCCAAACTCCCTACATCAACAATCTCCAAGCACCCAAAATCAACGCCGCCGTACCCGTACAAACACCCATTAACCACTGCAAAGTCTGAAACTTAACACCCTCCAACTTCTCCCTCAACCCAGCAACCTCCTGCTCAATCTTCGTTTCGGTTTCCTTGATCTTAAGATCCTGAACATTGGCTTCCTCTCTTATCCTTCCTTTCTCCAAATTTAAATCCAATCGAACGGAAGCCTGTGTTCGGGAAACCTCGTCGCGGAGACGAGCATTGAGTTTAGCGAGATCATTGGTGAGTCTCTCATGTGAAGCGCGGGTTGTGGATGATTCTGTAGAATCTGCTGAGAGGAGCTCGCTACGGAGCGCCGCGAAATCAACTTTTTGGGTGTAGGTAGCGCGAGCTGCATCTTCCCGAAGAACCATTGTGCGAGTTAGGTTTTGTATACTGGGTGAGATGTTAATTGGGCGCTTTATGAGCTTGAGAAAGGCAGTAGAGGAAAGGAATGAAAGGTTACCTTTCTTCAATAACATCGCTTAGTACTTTCATCATAGCTACAGCTTGAGTTTCTGTGAATCCCTCATCCTGTAATCTTTGGACGAACTTTAGGGTATCAAAATGGTGGTCCCTAGACTGTCGGGGTGTTGCGTGGAATGCTCTTCGATATAATGGCTCTTGTAATATGCTAGTTCTAGGTTTGTTTCCATTTCCCATTGATCGTGCTCCATTTGATGCCTGCCTTCCAGAGGCGGGTCCTATAGACTTCCCATTATTGTTTGCTGCTGCGCTGAATGCTCGAACAGTATGCGGGGGTAAAGAAGATCGAGCTTGCCAGCTCAATCTAGGGAGAAGAAATCGAGGTAGTGTTTGTGCGGAGTTTGCAATTGAATTTGCCATTACTTTATGTTTCCCTCTAGGAGGTAAATTGACTTCAAATGTTGTATAGTTCTCCAAGTGTTTTGTTGAGGAATTGTGTTTCTAATAAAGATAGGTATTGAACTTTTGACACACATCACATCATACCCGGCAGTATCCGTTAGTCACCAAAATCGTGGGACTACGGTGACCGAGATTGTTTGCTTTCTCGGTTGAGTCACCCACTTCAAGAATATTATCAAGTTTCGAAATCTTGCCCATTCACAAATCCACGAGGAGTAATACCCACGACATTTGAATCCTTTCTTGAATTTCAGATTAGATCTTAGTGAACACATTGAGTTATCTGAGAATCCTTCAGCTCCAGATACCTCCACATCAAGGGAAATCATCCAATTACCCCGCCACAGCAAATATTTAAGAAAACGAAACAGCAAACCCCCCACCAGAGATCAACCACCCAACATGGCATCGAACGGTGATAAGTTTGGGAATGATCTGGAATCTGAATCCGACTCTAACCCAGGATCTCCTAACCTTGATGCGCAAGAGATTGACGACAATGTCGAGGATATTGACGAGAAGCCCATCAAATCCGCATTAAAGAAATCATCACATAAAGAGCCTGCGCCAGTTGTTGTTCGACCTATTTTACCACCTCAAACAGAACCAAAAGACTTGGATGTGAAGACCCTGAATCCCCTCACGCCAGAGATTATCGCAAGACAAGCAACTATCAACATTGGTACTATTGGACATGTGGCGCACGGAAAGTCAACTGTGGTGAAAGCTATCTCAGGTGTACAAACTGTTCGTTTCAAGAACGAATTGGAGAGAAATATTACGATTAAGCTTGGTTATGCGAATGCGAAGATCTACCAGTGCGACAACAAAGAGTGTCCTAGACCAGGTTGCTTTAGATCTTATAAGAGCGAGAAGGAAGTTGATCCACCATGTGAGAGAGATGGATGTGGTGGTACCTACAGACTTTTGAGACACGTATCGTAAGTTACGTTGCTTGCACTTTTAAGCGGCAGCAATAGCTAACATGTGATAGTTTCGTCGATTGCCCCGGTCACGATATTCTTATGAGTACTATGTTGTCTGGTGCAGCTGTCATGGACGCCGCTCTTCTACTTATTGCTGGAAATGAAACTTGCCCGCAACCACAAACTTCAGAACATTTGGCAGCCATCGAAATTATGAAGCTCGATAAGGTCATCATTTTACAGAACAAGGTCGATTTGATGAGAGAAGAAGGCGCAAACCAACATTACCAATCGATATTGAAGTTCATTAGAGGAACTGTTGCAGGTGGAGCACCAATTATCCCTATCTCCGCCCAACTGAAGTTCAACATCGATGCGGTTAACGAAGCTCTTGTTTCCAACATCCCTGTCCCACCAAGAGATTTCACCATGGATCCACAAATGATTGTTATTCGTTCTTTCGATGTTAACAAGCCAGGTGCTGAAATTGACGAATTAAAGGGTGGTGTTGCTGGTGGAAGTATCTTGCACGGTGTCATCAAGTTGGGTGACGAAATCGAGATTAGACCTGGTATCGTTTCTCGCGACGAAAAGGGAGGTGTTAAGTGTCAACCAATTTTCAGCAGAATCATCACACTTAACTCGGAGAACAACGAGTTGAAATATGCCGTTCCAGGAGGACTTATTGGTGTTGGTACTCGAATTGATCCTACTCTTTGCCGTGCCGATCGTCTCGTCGGTTTCGTTCTCGGTCTCAAGGGCCGTCTTCCTGATATCTACATCGAAATCGAAGTCAACTACTATTTGTTGCGTCGTCTCTTGGGTGTTAAGACTGCTGATGGTAAACAAGCTAAGGTTACTAAGCTTACAAAGAACGAGGTTCTCATGGTTAACATTGGATCTACTGCTACCGGTGCTAAGGTTATGGCTGTCAAGCAAGATGCAGCTAAATTACTCTTGACCAACCCTGCTTGCACAAACATTGGGGAAAAGGTTGCGCTCAGTCGTCGTATTGAAAAGCATTGGCGATTGATTGGTTGGGCCACTATCGCTGCTGGTGTAACTCTTGATCCAAGCACTTCTTAGGAGAATGGATGGAAGCAATATTTTCATACATAGCCTAGAAATTTAAGGTGGAAGTGAAAGAAAGACATGCAGCAATGTATTCTTGTGATATAGTGATGTAGCGGAAGAAGGATGTCTCGACATCTTGAGACTCTTGGCTTATTCTAGTCTGGTCGTCGCATGTATACCGAGCACTTGAGGAAAAGTCGATAGATTGGGCGCGGCACTTAAAAGTTAGCTCGATAATGAATTATTTTTTGCACAGCATTCGTATTGTGATGTTTTAACAATGATGCATTTCATCAAGTTGGGTTAGAACGATTGCTAAAACACAACATCGCGTTTTCGTCTCTAGTCTTTGTAATCATACAGTAGGTATCAATATCATAACCTTAAATCTCGCCTAATAGTTCGCCAAGCATGAAGCACTAGGTTCACATTGAAGAAGAAGCTGAGATAAGATTACCTAATTAATATAAGGTTAGTTGGGTGATGTAAGCTGGTTGCCTTTTGAGCTTATTTTGAGCTTATTTTTTGGGGGGAGGTTTTTATTTTATTTTATTTTTGTAGACCTTGTTAGGTAGGTAGGTAAGGGGGAGTTTGATACGAATACGGGGGATGATTCTAGTAATTCGTATTTTATGAGAGGTTTTTGTTGATGTGGATAGTGAGATAGATCGTATTTGGATGTAGAGGGCAGATGGCAAAGGGAGAGAGACTTTCGTGTCTGTTTTTTATGATGGCTGAGTACAGTATATTGGCTTGATGCATTTGGAAAAAAAAAAGTGTGATTTGGCTAGTGATTCTCACTCTGACTACGGTTATGGTGAAATAGCTGTGTGAGCCTAGATTCACCTACATGATGATTTTGTTTATACTCCGTACACAATTGCAGCCTACAGGTCGCTGAAGAATCTAATTGAATTCTGTAGTCTGAAAAAGGTTACCTTAGTAAGTGAGTGGAGCTATTATCCTAGACTATAAACCTTGCCATATTGAGCTTAATCTCGTCCTACCTCAAGTCTGTGTATCTGGACTTGGGATGGCCGCATGTCAGTGTCCGCATATATTTTACATCTACTCTACGCGATCACGGGAAAGCAACTTCAAAGCAATCAGTCAAAGCACCATCACCGGTTAAATCTATCAGTACATGTATACTGCAGTAACCTACATGAATAAACGCCCCTATTCCCCTTTCTCGACATTCGTGGCCATATGTCACCTACTAGGCATCAGACAAACAACTTTTTTCGATTCCTAAAGCTATCCCACTTTTCCTTCCAGATCTAATTCCATTCTACTTTTTACGCGAGCATTATCCCAGGGCAGAGAAAATAAATTTGTATCTTTCGCAGACTGTTTTATGACATGTGGGCTCTGTCTTAGCTAGAACACGACAGCTGCCAGCCTGCCAAACAAATCATCAAATTTCTACTTCGGCCGATAGGGAAAACTTTATTTTTCTTCACACTTTCTATGATGCAGACATCCCAAATTCCAAGACGAAAACCTTTTACGTCTGCTTATCTGCATCACTCGGAGTTAAAGAAACACCCGCTTGTCTGCTTGTCTGCTTACTCGGATTTTACTAACACCCGACCTGCCTCAGATGAGTACGTAAATGTAAATATGAGTCAGGCCTTAAGTGATCAAAGCGAGTCTTTTTCTTCCACCAAGAATGATACAGTAGTCGGTGGGGAGTCAGAGTCCTTTTTAGTGATCGGGTCGTGGGATGTGATTCGCTGGGCGTTTGATTCAAATTCCAAGGGGCTGAGGGGCCGATACGCTTAGGAGAGAGAAGAATCTAGATGGAAGGAATGAGATGAGGTGGATGGAAAAAATGGGTGAATTGGGATATTTGGTGCTCATGTCCCATGCCCCATGCAAGAAAATTGAAATAAGATATGCGATTTGTTGAAGCACAGGGACAGGTAAAAAGAAAAGGATGAGGAAGTTTTCGGACACTTTTCTATAGTAGTATCTGTATCTTGTTTTGCTCTATGCATCCCAAATATAATATATCGCCGATGAAGGGATATATAGGGAGATGTTTTATTCTCCATTCTTCTTTTTTCTAGAATCTTCACGATCGATCTGACTGCCGTTATATACGGATCAGAATAAAAACTTACTTTCACCAAGACACCAAAAATTTAACCTTAATTGGCAAACTATTTTTCCCCAGGATTTTTTTATTGGATTTTATTGGATTTAACTGAGTTTTAATTGGACCCATAAGGTTAGTGCTCATCAGAGAATACCTTGCGTTGCCCTAGTCTACGCATACATTCACTTTTCCATATCCATCAACCACGATTCGCAAAGGGATTTCGACAAGGCTCCCGTTATCGGATTTGAGGGCGTTTCTATTTATCTCCGTTCACTATTTACTTCATTTCCTCCGTTACTTACGACTTAAATCCTCCGCCGGTTTCGTCCGTAGAGGAGCTTTGAGATGTGAAATAAAAACAGCTATATATATTCGCATTACTGTACATCTTCAGATTATTTCTTTTTGACTAATCAATCATACAGAAGATTGCTTCTTCTACTTTACCAAAGTTATCTTTTATCTATATACTTTCTTCTAAGAAGTCTTACCAAATCAAGAAGAACTCAGCGATCGAACGGCAATGATGACGGATGAAAAATTACCACCCACGACAGCATCGTCTGCTTCAAGTACAATGCATGAGAAATCTGACGCAGAACAAGCAAATCTGGAACGCGAAGCTATGACAACATCGGGTGCTGGATCGACGGAAAAAACTCCTCAAGCTATAACTTCGGTTCAGGAAGGGGACAACAATAACCCGATAGAGTTAAATAGGACGAGAAGTGCAGCGGACGTACAACAAGAGGAGTTGAACAGGGTTATGACAAGTGCAGATGGTGTAGAATATCCAACTGGTGTCAAGTTACAGTTGATTACGTTGGCATTATGTTTATCGGTTTTCTTGATGGCATTGGTAAGTTTCTTCTAGTTTATTCAAGACTATAGTTTCTCAGTTCTTGGGTTCTTGGGTTCTAATTAGTGAATAGGATAATTCCATTATTGCAACAGCTATTCCTAAGATTACTGATCAATTTCACTCATTGGACGATGTTGGTTGGTATGGATCTGCATGTAAGAATCTCTAACATTCATATTTGTTGATTTTGGCTTCCCCATGAGGAACTACTATGTGGAAACTTAGAGACTGACAATCATGTGTTTACAGACCTTCTCACTACTGCTTCCTTCCAACTTCTTTTTGGGAAATTCTATTCATATTTCTCAATAAAATGGGTTTACCTCATCGCAATTGGTATCTTCGAGCTCGGTAGTTTGATCTGTGGAGTTGCGCCAAATTCGGTTGCCTTGATCATCGGTAGAGCTATTGCTGGTTTGGGAAGTGCTGGAATCTTTTCAGGTGCTTTGATTATCGTCGCATATTCCGTACCTTTGATCAAGAGACCGATGTTTACTGGGTTCATTGGAGCTATGTATGGTATTGCCTCTGTAGCTGGACCATTACTTGGAGGTGTATTCGTAAGTCTGCCTTGACACTTCACCATGACAAACACTGACCAGAACAGACTGATAAAGCAACTTGGCGTTGGTGCTTCTTCATCAATCTTCCTATAGGAGCTGGTTAGTCTTCCACATACTCTCCATGACCAGCTTTCGCTTATTAATATGATATGTAGTCACTGTTATTGTTATCTTGATTTTCTTCAAAGCTCCCGATAGAGCAGCTGTTGCGGAACTTCCATGGAAAGAGCGTGTAAAGGAATTCGATCTTCTCGGTACCGCATTCTTCATTCCAGCTATCATCTGCCTATTGCTCGCACTTCAATGGGGTGGAACCAAATACCATTGGGATAATGGTCGTATCATCGCACTCTTCGTACTCTTCGGAATACTAATAGGAGTATTTATCGCCATCCAATTCTGGAAAGGAGACAGCGCCACCGTACCACCCAACATCATGAAGAAGCGAAGCATGTGGTCAGCTGCATGGTTCTCTTTCTGTCTCGGATCATATTTCCTCCTTCTAATCTACTATCTTCCTATTTGGTTCCAAGCCGTCAAGGGTGATTCGGCTGTCAAATCTGGTATTTCTAACATACCAATGGTGTTGACATTGGTAATTGTTAGGTTCGTATAATCTTCCTCATCTTTTGCATACTTTCATACTGATAACATATTTTAGTATCATCTCTGGAGTTGGTGTCACAACAATCGGTTATTACGCACCATTCATGATCATTTCTTCAGTAATCGCAGCAATTGGAATCGGTCTCTTAACCACCTTCAAACCTGACACCAACCACGCAGCATGGATCGGCTACCAATGTCTCGCTGGTATCGGTATCGGCTTTGGTATGCAACAACCTCTCATTGCATGTCAAACCGTCCTCGATATCTCACAAGTCCCAACCGGTACCTCCGTCATCATCTTTGTACAAACCCTTGGTGGAGCCCTCTTCGTCTCTATCGGTCAAAACATCTTTACAAACAAACTTTCTGAAAATTTGGCACATTTTGTACCAGATTTAGATCCTGCTGTTGTTTTAAACACAGGTGCTACTAGTATCCAGAAAGACATCGCTCCACAATATTTGGCCGGTGTAACGATTTCTTATAATAATGCATTGACGCAATCATTCCTGGTGGCGGCTGTTATGGCTGCTCTGACTATTATTGGTAGTCTAGCCGTTGAGTGGAAGAGTGTCAAAGGAAAGAAAATTGAGATGGCGGCTGCTTAAATCCGAGTTCGGGAAAGATTTTCAATCAGGAGTTGAGAATTCGAAGCTTGGGTTTAAGGTCGTTGTAGATGCGTATGATTATGTTGATGTTTATGTGCTGCAATTTTTTTTTGGCCCTGTACATGTGTACTATATACCCCTTTTCGCGTTGGAAACCTTTTATAAAGGAAAGAAAGACTTGCTTTTCGCTATGGCGGTTACTTGGAATATTTAATTAGTGGATGGATGGATGGATGAGAGAATCATAGGCTGCTTGTGTGATACAGCAGCTGGGAGATGGGTGATGAAGGGTGGTGTCTTGTCTTGATGGTTGAATAGTTGAGATGAGATGACATGATGAATGCCTACGAGATAGATGATGCATGCATGGATGAATATTTATGCCATGTTTTACTTGAGGAATGAGATAGATAGATAGATATATAGATGGATGGAGGGGATACAAAATTAACTCTACTTACTTACTTATTTAGTTATTTTAATTAATATAAAAATGCGACTAATAGAAGAAAGATATTCATCTTCAGATTTCAGATATTGATACCGTATGTAAGATTCCAAATAAAGTTTGACAATGAATGGATTACGTTCATAGGAAGACATAGATGATTTGACATGCTTTGTTTTGCGTTGCTTTTGCAAGAAACGACAAATCTTCAGTAAATTCCATTTGAAATTTGAATCAGGAATTGAAATTGAAACGTGCAACACGGACTAATTACTTGATAATGAGCTAGCTCTACTCTATAGCTCTACACTGTAGAGATGCGAACTATTAAAAAATCATTTAGAATTACCACTTGGCGGAAGAGAAGACTTGCTGCCGCTGGGCTAGTTTTCGGAATATACTAAATTGGAATGGTTTGATTCTATCATTCTGAAATTTGAATGTATATCTGAAAATAGCTGTGTTTGTTGGGGTATTTTATAGGAGTGGAGTGTTTTTGGATGGGAAGCGTGTTTTTGGTCAACTAGGGTTAATTGTTTAATACGATCTTGAGACTGGTAGCACCAGTAGCACCTGTTGAGAAATTTTATTTCTGTAAAAGGAGTAGTAATAGCAAAGAAGGGGAGGGATCTCAGGACCAACAACGCATAGAAGTCATGGAAGAACCGGCACGGATTCATAGCTTGACTGCTGCCGATAACGGATACAGAACATGTCATGTTCAGCTTTTTCTGGAATCAAATGTTTGCTGAAATGCCTGACACGCTTGAGTTTTCACCACGACTGAAACTGATTCCCTTCAACAATGAGTTGGCGACCTTTTAGGAATAGGTCCGATGGCTGAAAACGTTGCTATGCATTGATCTTGCTGTATCTGCCTAATCTTCCTATCATGGCATTTGAGCCCGTTCTAAAAAGGCCACTTTGAAAGTATTTTGCAAAGCCTGAGATGTGCCGCCAAAGATAATGACTGTCTCGTCCCAATAAGCTATTTCTTCAGTATGATGATTCAGAAAATATCTATTTAGTTAGTCGAGGCTTGCCGCAAGTGTAATGTAATGGTAGAACCTTGTAGCCATGTAAAAAGTCCTTAGCCCCAGTTGGATATTTCGTTTCTACATCTTCGTGAGCTGACTTTTACCTGAAACCAACCATATGGTTCTCAATATCTCAGTAGCTTGGTTTTGGTGTTATCATAGTCATATTCCAGGCAGCATACACTATGCTTTCCAATGCTAAGCCATACTGCTGGCCACAGCAAAGAGGTTCTGCGCTCCGTTGTAATGAGATATGCTCTACCGACACTTTTAATGTTTGTACCATGGAAAAGTCAGGCTATTGCACAAAACTTGTAAGCAATATGATGGGCGTCGCCTATGACTGCCCTAATCCTGATTTTCATCGGCGAAATAATCTACAAGAAGATCGTTTCTCCACAATCTGGACACCCAACGCAGCCGATGAACCGAAGGATCTCTCACATTTCAGGAGAATCTACCTCACTGCATCTGTCATAGGTGCTGCACTCCAGAGCATTGATATTTCTAGTATTTCATTATCTAGCGACCTAGCTGTCCTCATAGTGTACTACCTCCGAGTTCCGAAACTACTTGGTCGAATTCTGGAGTTTGTACATTGCGTCATGTGCTTGGCTCACAATGCAGTCTAGCATAACAAGTATCTTAACAGAATAAACTGCTGATGTGGAAAAGCTGTTGTATTTTACCTCGTGCCAACTTGGCTACTAGGCCAGGAGCCGCGTTGGCGGGTTGTTGGTACTGGTTGGAAATGCAAATGGCTCGCACTAGCATCCCGGCCAGAAAGTAATGAATTTGCAAACATGTCTATTTGACGAATGGAAAGAGAGCACACACAAACAAATGAGGAAAACAATAAAGTAAAGCCATGTATGTACAAGAGCTTCCGAGTAGTTCATATGAAGGACTTGCTATCACCCCAACATCTTGAGACTCTGGTCCGGTTGCTTTTATGCACTGTTTAATAAAGAAAAGAATAAGAAATATATTGATCTTTACTGTAATAGACTACTCAAGTAAAATACGCATTTCAAACAAAATGTGGTACGAGTGATTGCCAATATAACAAGCTAGTTATCAGACCGTATAATGACAAGCATACTATTATTTACTCCAGCGGCTCGGTTCGCTGGTCTACCCGCAGTTTCACCACTAGAAGCCGAGCGTTGTGGAACGCGGGCAGGAGAACCCAAACTCTGCATTCCAAAGCAAAATGTTATATCTTGAAAACATTATGGAAAGATTGATACCTAGTATCTTTATCGTTCTCAAAATGAGTCGTTGATGTGAATATCAAACCTCAATGCTTAGTGAGAAAGGGGTCGTGCCCCTTATGTACTTAATCATGTGACGTGGCTGGCCGATTGGCTAAAATGGACTAGCGCATTCCTAGCTTCGTTGATCCAAGCGGTTTACAATTGTCGCCGTCGCAAGTGACAAGGCCAGTTTTAGAAGCATACAACCACATACACTCTCCACATTTCAAATCTCATATTCCTCAGCACCCCTCACATCTGGGTACTTTTCAAATTCTCTAATAATTTCCCACAGTACTTGTACTTCCCAATCTGCGTTCCTTACTAATTGAGCACTTTTCTGGGTAAACAGCGCCTCTGCGCAGATAGCTTACCCACTACTTTGGGTCAACAATTAAAAGAGGTCATTTTCCTTTGATCGCATAGATTCAGAGAATCATTAAAGATGGGTCCACTCCCAATCAAGTTCACGGAGCTTCTCCAGGTATGATATGAGGTCTACATGTGATGAATTGTTGACTTGTGTTTACTGACTTTAATTTAGTTAACAAGTGTCGGAGTTGAGGTATGTGCCAGCCACAAATACAGCTGGTTTTTACCAGCTCTGCCATGCCATTTTTAGCTATGGTACATCATCAAATTTGACTTACTAACTGTTAATTTTATAGGCGCAATCGATAGGTTTTAATTCATGTGTAAGTTATTCCAACTGAGCTTTAGGCATGTATTAATTATTTGACCAGACACTGGAGTCAGATTCATACATCTGCGTACGAGAGAAGAAGAACGAAGCCGCGCAACCAGAAGTCGTCATCGTCGATCTAAAGCAAAACAATGCTGTCACCCGAAGACCTATCAAGGCGGATAGTGCCATTATGCACTGGTCGAAACAGGTCATCGCATTAAAGGCACAATCAAGGACCTTACAAATATTTGACTTGGGTGCCAAGGCGAAGCTAAAGTCTGCTACCATGAATGAAGATGTTGTCTTCTGGAAATGGTTCAGTGAGACAAGCTTGGGATTGGTTACCGACACAACAGTTTACCACTGGGATGTTTTTGACCCAAATCAGGCAGCTCCGGTGGAGGTCTTCAAGAGAAATCCAAACCTTTCTGTAAGTTCTGCCATTACTGGAGGAGGAAATGATATTGATGTTTCGCCAGGGATGTCAGATCATCAACTATCGTGTTAGTGGTGATGGCAAGTGGATGGTAGTCGTGGGCATTACACAACAACAAGGACGAGTGGTCGGAGCGATGCAACTATATTCGAAAGACAGAGGCATCAGTCAGGCCATCGAGGGCCATGCCGCAGCATTTGGTACACTACGATTAGAATCTGCGCCAGCAGACACGAAAGTGTTCACATTTTCGGTTCGAACTGCTACTGGCGCAAAGCTACACATAGTCGAGGTCGACCATCAATCTTCAAATCCACCGTTTTCAAAGAAAGCAGTTGATGTATATTTTCCTGCTGAAGCTGTAAACGATTTCCCAGTCGCCATGCAAGTTTCGCAAAAATACAGCATTATTTATTTGGTTACCAAATACGGCTTTATTCACCTATACGATCTTGAGACTGGTACATGTATTTTCATGAACCGCATCTCAAGCGAGACGATCTTCATTACAGCCGGCGACTCGGAATCCGCTGGACTTGTTGGTGTTAACCGAAGGGGACAAGTACTGTCGGTATCTGTTGATGAAACAACAATTATTCCGTACTTGCTCCAAAATCCTGCAAACTCTGGCTTAGCAGTCAAGCTTGCCTCAAGAGCCGGTCTACCTGGTGCAGACAACCTCTATGCCAACCAATTCGAGCAACTTTTGGCTGCCGGAAACTACTCTGAGGCTTCGAAAATCGCGGCAAACTCTCCCCGCGGCTTTTTGCGAACTCCACAAACTATCGAACGTCTCAAGAGCTTACCGGCTGTGCCGGGTCAATTATCCGTTATCTTACAATACTTTGGTATGCTGCTTGACAAGGGATCGTTGAATAAACATGAGACGTTAGAGCTTGTACGACCTGTTTTGGCTCAGAATCGAAAGCATCTTCTTGAAAAGTGGATGAAGGAAAACAAACTCGACTGTTCTGAAGAATTGGGTGACATTGTCCGACAACAAGATACACAGCTTGCACTCGCTATCTATCTTAAGGCAAATGTTCCCCACAAGGTTGTTGCTGCATTCGCCGAGAGTGGTCAATTCGAGAAGATCTTACCTTACGCCCAACAAGCAGGTTACCAACCGGACTATGTCCAATTACTCCGCAATATTATCTCTATCAACCCTGAAAAGGGAGCCGAATTTGCTACTCAGTTGGCAAATACTGAAGGGGGATCTCTAGTTGACATTGAGCGTGTTGTAGACGTATTTCAGTCTCAAGGAATGGTTCAACCCGCTACTGGATTCTTGCTTGATGCATTAAAGGAGAACAAGCCTGAGCAAGGACACTTGCAAACTCGCCTCCTTGAAATGAATCTCATGAATGCCCCTCAAGTCGCTGACGCCATTCTTGGCAACGAAATGTTCTCTCACTACGACAAGCCTAGAATCGCGCAGCTATGTGAACAAGCTGGCCTTGCTCAAAGAGCTTTGGAACACTATGAAGACCCTGAGGCTATCAAACGTGTCATTGTCAATATCGTTGCATCCCCAACTTTCAGTCAAGAATGGCTCACCGGTTACTTTGGTCGCTTGTCCCTTGAACAGTCATTAGATTGTCTTGATGCTATGCTTAAAGTAAACATTCGTCAAAACCTCGGGGCCGTTGTTCAGATTGCCGTGAAATACTCGGATTTACTCGGCCCTGTTAGATTGATCGATCTTTTTGAGAAGTACAAGACTGCTGAAGGTCTATACCACTATCTTGGTAGCATTGTCAATCTGAGTGAGGACCCAGATGTAAACTTCAAATATATTGAGGCTGCCGTGAAGATGCAGCAGTACCAGGAGGTTGAACGTATATGCCGTGACAGGTTCGTCCCCTATCGCCCTATTGTCGCGTTGTTTATGTAGCTAATGATACTCTAGTAATTCCTCTGATCCGCTTAAAGTCAAAAACTTCTTGAAGGAGGCCAAATTGACCGAGCAATTGCCGCTGATCATCGTCTGTGATCGATTCAACTTCATTCATGAGTTGGTACTTTACCTCTATCAGAACCAACAGTTCCAATCTATCGAGGTCTATGTCCAACGAGTCAACCCTGCACGAACTCCTGCTGTCGTCGGTGGATTACTCGATGTTGACTGCGATGAGCAAATCATCAAGAATCTTTTGAATTCCGTTAATCATGCTTCCATCCCTATCGATGAGCTTGTTCAGGAGGTTGAATCCCGCAACCGTCTTAAGCTCCTGTTGCCTTTCCTCGAGGCCACCTTGGCTGCAGGCAACCAGCAACAAGCTTTACATAACGCGCTCGGAAAAATCTTTATTGATAGGTACCTACATCGCCCTACGGTGCTTAGAACATGATGGCTAACTATGGTTTTAGTAACAATAACCCAGAGCAATTCCTCAGGACAAACGATATGTACGATTGCAAGGTTTTGGGTACCTACGCAGCTAAGCGAGACCCGTCGCTTGGTATGTTTGTTTTTTTGTTTCTCTTTTCATTCTATCAACTGTACTTCCACAATTTCATTACTGCATCTAGATTTGGGAAGGTAGTACCTTCCTATGATACCTGGTCACTTCTTCGACACTAATCACCCCTTCTTCTTCGACTGCATCTTCATCTGATACCTGGACGGGCCAACAACAATGACTGCCCCTTCATTTTTTGGGCAGGCTTTCTCGTGATGTTATGATGATAGAAGGATATCCCTCTTCCAGTTGGACAACTGCCCGAAGCAATCTCGTAACCAGCCTCGAGCACATCATTTATTGGACCAAGACATTTTATGACACCTTTGGGGGATATGCTCAAATTGATAACACCGATGGTCGTCATTAGCTTTGCTTGAATCAGCGTGGTCAATGTTTGCTTCACACAAAGAAATCGGTAGTACCGATTCTGCTCCATTTGCTGAATTTTCTTCTGAGAACTTTACGGATTTTTTGCTAACCAATTAAAAGCTATTATCGCATTTAGTAAAGGTCAGAACGATCTCGAACTCGTCAACATCACCAACGAAAATTCTATGTACAAAGCTCAAGCTCGCTACCTTTTGGAAAGAGCTGATAACGAATTGTGGGGGTTTGTCTTGTCTGAAAACAATATTCACCGCCGATCTGTGATTGATCAAGTCATATCTACAGCTGTTCCAGAGTCAACTGAGCCCGAAAAGGTTTCTGTTGCAGTTGCAGCCTTCCTTAGCGCTGATCTTCCAGGTGAATTGATTGAATTGCTTGAGAAGATCGTTCTTGAGCCTTCGCCATTCAGCGACAATGAGAGCTTGCAGAATCTTCTCATTCTCACCGCCACCAAAGCTGATAAGAGTCGAGTCATGGATTATATTCACAAGTTGGATGCGTATAATCCTGTGGATGTCGCTTCAATCTGCATTGAAGTTGGCTTATATGAGGAGGCATTCGAGGTTTACAAAAAGATTAATGACCATATTAACGCTGTCAACGTCCTCGTTGAGCACATTGTCAGCATCGATCGCGCACAAGATTTTGCGGAACAGGTGGAGATTCCTGAAGTATGGAGTAGAGTCGCTAAAGCTCAGTTGGATGGTCTACGTGTTTCCGACGGTATCAATAGCTATCTCCGAGCAAACGATCCAAGTAACTACCTAGAGGTTATTGAAATTGCTACTCACGCTGGCAAGGACGAAGACCTCATCAAATACCTTCGCATGGCCCGTAAGACACTTCGTGAGCCTGCTATCGACACTGGACTTGCCTTTGCATTTGCTCGTACTGATCAATTAAGCGAACTTGAGGACTTCCTCAGGGGAACTAATGTCGCTGATATTGAAGAGTCGGGTGACAAGGCATATGCTGAAGGGTTCCACCAAGCTGCGAAGATCTTCTTCACCAGTATTTCAAACTGGGCCAAACTTGCCACCACTCTTGTTCACCTCGAGGATTATCAATCCGCCGTCGAATGCGCAAGAAAGGCTAATAATATCAAGGTCTGGAAGCAAGTCAACGCCGCTTGTGTTGAGAAGAAGGAATTCCGTCTTGCTCAGATTTGTGGTCTCAATTTGATCGTTGATGCTGAAGAGTTACAAAGCTTGGTCAAGCAATACGAGCGCAACGGCTACTTCGATGAACTTATTGCATTACTTGAGCAGGGTCTAGGTCTTGAACGTACGTTGCTTCCTGAATTTTTCTACTACTAATAGTTCGAAACCATGTACTAACGTTATCATATTTAGGATGTCATATGGGAATTTTTACGGGACTAGGTATTGCTCTTTCCAAGTACCATCCAGATCGCACAATGGAGCACCTGAAGCTTTTCTGGAGTAGAATCAATATTCCAAAGATGATTCGTGCCTGCGAGGAAGCCCACCTTTGGCCGGAATTGATTTTCTTGTACTGCCATTATGATGAGTGGGATAACGCTGCTCTTGCAATGATGGAGAGAGCTGCCGACGCATGGGAGCACCACTCTTTCAAGGATATCATTGTCAAGGTAGCAAATTTGGAGATCTACTACCGCGCTCTGAATTTCTATCTTCAAGAGCAACCATCTCTCATTACCGATCTTCTACAGGCACTTGCACCAAGAATTGACGTCAATCGTGTTGTCAAGATGTTCGAAAAGTCTGACAACATCCCTCTCATCAAGCCTTTCCTTCTTAACGTTCAAACTCAGAATAAGAAGATTGTCAACGTGGCCATCAATGATTTGTTGATTGAGGAGGAAGACTACAAGACTCTCCGTGATTCTGTTGAGAACTACGATAACTATGATGCCGTCGAGCTTGCTCAACGATTGGAGCGTCATGATTTGGTCTTCTTCCGCCAAATTGCTGCTAATATTTACCGCAAGAACAAACGCTGGGAGAAGTCGATCGCTCTTTCAAAGCAAGACAAGCTTTTCAAAGATGCAATTGAGACTGCTGCTATCTCTGGCAAGTCAGATGTTGTCGAGGAGCTGCTTAGATATGTAAGTTTGTCATTCGCTATTCCTTTTCTTTTGCTAATCATTCTCCTAGTTCGTCGATATCGGTAGCCGAGAATGTTATGTTGGTATGCTCTATGCTTGCTATGATCTCATCCCCGTCCATGTTGTCATGGAAGTCTCATGGCGTCACAGCCTTACAGATTTTACCATGCCATTCATGATTAACTATTTGGCCCAACAAAGCTCTACGATTGCTGAGTTAAAGAAGGACAATGAGGAGAGGAAGTTGAGAGAAAAGTCACAGGTTCAAGAAGAGGACAATACCCCCATTCTCGGAGGCAATCGTCTTATGATCACCGCTGGACCGACCGGACGTGCGTCTCCAGCCCAGTTCGGCCACACTAATGGATTCGCACCACAACCGACAGGTTTTGGAGGGTTTTAGATGATGCTGGAGGATGAAGAACACGCCTATACATAATGATATTGCATTTGGGTTGCAAGTTTTCTTGATTTTTTTCATCAAGCCTGGGTTCGCGGAGATATGCATCTCGGAAAAATTCCATGATGAGGATGATGATATAGTTGTATGCTTGTTGCAGCATTTACTGGGTAGAATCCTTTTTTCCTTCTTCAAGGGAGGACTCGCCATGTTTGTAACTGATAGTTTGAGGAGCGTTTATGGAAGAGTCTGCCTTAAGATTCTCTGATGTATTTCTGCACATTACGAGAAAAGTAAAAGCTAGTTTACATTAAGACGAAACAAAAAGAGCCGTGCTCGCGCCGTTCCGCTGATGCCGCCTTGGTGTGTTGGATCTTAGATAAGAGTGAGATGTCCTGCACTGTGACCTGCACTGTGATGGCCAAGAATGCCAATTCTGCAGTAGTGTTTCACGATGTAACTGTACACATTTTGCCAAAATAGAAAATGTTTTGAACTTTTTTTGATGGATGTTTTGATGCCAAGTAGCTTGGTTCGTAGCTTGGTTCTTGGTTGGCTATGACATCGGCTACGCGCCGAAACCACGAGGAGGGGTTCAAAACTTTGGGATAGTTGAATGTAGATACTTAGATCTGAAATAATAGCTTGGCGAGTTGAGGCGATGTAGATATGTGTAGGATAGAGAAGTACTTGGCAGATTGGCGTGCCGGCTTGGCGTCTGTAGAAGCTCAGGAAATGCGTGGCTGGTACCCCACTAGCTTGGGTCTACTAAGATGTAAGCAGAGGGTGGTATTTGGATGGATTAGTGGGAGGTATTTGAGTATGAATTAGGAAAAGTAGAAGATCAAAGAATGATACTTGATAGCTGCAAGTTAGGAGGGGTTCGGACAATTAGATGACGAGTAGGAGCGAGATGATAGATGGGATTATGCAGGAGGGAGGAGATGTACGAAGTAGAGGTTAGCCTCGGCAATCAAAATAGGTATGGCGATATCGCATGTATAGATCTAAAGTTATGAATATGAATTATAAGGTTGTGATCACCGTTTGCTAAATCTTAAAAAGATGAAATATATGAAATTATGAGTTCAACGCCTTGGTCTGGGCTGCCGATAACATCACCGGTCCTCGGCATTGGCCATGCTTCGCATCATTTTAAAAGTCAATAAAGCCCCACGAATACGATAGCCACCTGAGCCGCCAAAAAATAAACAGAGGTTACACTGCGTGAATATTTCTGAGATGCGATACGATGAGTATGAATCATGAAGGACGTTTGGAAGATGGGGATGGATGGTGATGATGCATTTGATAAGTGGAAATTTATGTGAGGGTGGAGGATAAGGTATTACGGAGATATGGAAGAATGGAATCAATCAATGGACAGATGGATATTGGTCCGTATTGGATGGTTGGCTATTGGTTTACGTACGGAGTACCTGAGGATATCCCGCGCGGCTGGCTCGATGTTAATTCGGATTGGACGGTAGACAATTGGTACAAAATTACGAATCCAGTACATGAGGATATCCCACGCGCTATTCTGCATGCCGGCTGGCTGGTGGATGATGTGATGTGTTGTGGAGGGGTAGACGCGGAGCAATAATGCATTGGTCCGTGGCAATGAAGTACATACATAATTCTTTGGCATGGTTGATTAGCACAGCATGTATGCACATTGTACAGTATGTGTGCATTTTTTTTTCCTCGCAAACGTCGGCGTACGTGATGAAGGGGGGGTAAATCTGATGCGGCGGATATTTTGACTATGAGTTGTATTCTCTGTTGGGACCCTTACTATATGTTGAGTGTTGTGCTTTTGCAAAACTTCACTGTACAATTATATCACGTTATTTGTTTTGATATTAGTTCTTTCTTGACGCCGTTGTGAAATCTTACTTTGGATTTGATATTGATATTCGTTGAAGATCATAGATCTGTCATTATCGTAGTAATATGATTGGTTCGGGACTTAGCACGCTCACTTCGGTCCAAATACATGGAGACATTTCCGAAGCTTAAATCCTGTAGCGGAAAGTTTGATAGATGATGGATTAAGGATGGTGATGTTGGGTGGATTAGATTTCTGGGCTGTTGATATTGCAATGTAACATCAGTGACCTGAAGACCTAGAATCTTACTCGAGTGTGAGTCAACTGGAAATGGAAATGGAGATCACGGTAAGAATGGGATGGTCGATCTTAGATTAATGGAATGAAACTTTAAGCAGTGATGGACGGTCTCTCACACAGGTAGTGGGGTATATCTGCTCTAAGGTTGGAGGTCTACAAACAAAATGCTCACTTGGCGATGAATACATGGCGTTAGATTTCTTTAGCAGTATGCCGTACGTACCAGTAATGGAAACTTTAGCTGAGGTCTATCAAATTAGTTCAGGTTCCTTCCCGTGTGAAGCACTCAGGCTTTTCTAGTCTGGAATAATAGTCCTCTACCTTGATAGCAGTGGCATGACCAATAGATCAAGCTCTTTTTTCAGTTCACAAAGAGTATCAAAAAGTGGCTGATGGCCAAGTGAATGAAGCAAACAGACAAAAAAGAAGCTGCGCTGCGCTGCGCTGCGTTGCGCTGTGTCTCTTGTGACGGCGATGGCGATGGTGATCAGAGCCCTGCTCCACCTGGTGCTTCAAAGTCTAATGTCCAAGACTTACCTAGTATTAATAAGAATACAGAGAAATGCACCTGGCCAAGTGAGCGATTATTTTGAAGAATTTGACCAAGAAAGCCCAAGAAATCCTAGGCGTTAGAAGAGTATAAATTAAACCTTGTCAAAAAATTGCTGCCCCTCACCATATTGCATTTGAACAAGCCTCAATATCACCAAGGAAAACTCGGGTCTATTCACTACTTGAGAAAATTAAATAGGACCATTAAAGTCAAGAAGATTCCCTCATTTTGAGAACTAGTCTTTTCCCTTCTTCTTCTCCTTCTTGTTCCTCTTCCTCATACCCGGCTAGTCCTCCTAGTCATCCTGCTCGTCCGTCTATCCGCATAAAAAGACATTCAATTATCTTTTTACGAGAAACAAAGCATACGAATTGTTCCCAAGAGTGTTTCTGCAGTACAGTGTACGCGTTCCACTAATTTACAATATATTATTAGCATTAGTAGCTTTTTTCTAGAAGCTGTCCCTCGCTCCCACACTCCAATTTAACCCCTCCATTATTTATACGCTTAAGGTTATCCTGGGCCGAACCTAAGCCGAGAGCCCCTCCGTCCGTCTTCTTAAGACCAACGAGCAAGAAGCTCAACAACACAACCAAATCCAACAACCACACCGTCACAAATCTCAATATGGCTCACCACGATGAGAAAGGTCCTCACGGAGATGGAGCTTACAGTGAGGTTATCGAGGAGGGTTCCGATCTCAAACACCCACATACCGTCCATCGCATTAGAGCTAACTCCTCTATTATGCAACTGAAGAAGATTCTTGGTGAGCAATCAATCTATCGATCATAACCTATCCGCCAAACTTCAAAGTCCCTGCAGTATATGCTAATCTAAATCTCTTGTGATCTACAGTGGCCAATCGTGGTGAAATTCGTAAGTTTTCGATCCAACCAATCCATTTTTGTTTACTGTTGTGTTATGTGACTCAACTAACGTTTGTGTAGCTATTCGTGTATGTTATCGTCCAATTGCTTCAAGCTGATAAATTCAGAATGTGCTGACCTGACTTCCCTGCTCTTTAGATTTTCCGTACAGTAAGTTTGCTTATCCTGTCCTCGATAGCCCTACGTATCCTTTCCAAGAGATTCTATATGCATCAGACTGACTCGTCTCTTTTTCTAGGCCCACGAGCTTTCCCTGCAAACAGTCGCGGTCTTTAGGTAACACCTTGGCGATAATCATATAATGGACATCTGGCTGACCGAGTTGGTAGTTATGAGGATCGTCTTAGCATGCACAGACAGAGTGAGTAATCTGCGAACCATACACGGTGAAGAGAGGCTGATTATATGGTGTTACAGAGGCCGATGAAGCATACGTTATCGGCAAGCGGGGTCAATATACACCGGTTGGTGCATACTTGGCAGGAGACGAAATCATCAAGATTGCTCTTGAGCATGGCGTTCAAATGATACATCCTGGTATGAGAATTGAATTTATCACAATCATCGGGGCATGTGTCTAATATTCTACTAGGTTATGGTTTCCTTTCCGAGAACGCCGAGTTTGCAAGAAACGTTGAAAAGGCTGGACTTATTGTAAGTGGAACATCCATCGTCTTATACGTTTGACCACTATAGCTTACAATATCCGCCGTATAGTTCGTTGGTCCTTCCCCAACCGTTATCGATGCTCTTGGAGATAAGGTATCTGCCAGAGAAATTGCCATCAAGGCTGGTGTACCAGTTGTTCCAGGTACTGAAGGCGCTGTTGAAAAATTTGAGGATGTGAAGAAATTCACCGATGAATTCGGTTTCCCAATCATCATCAAGGCGGCATATGGAGGTGGTGGACGTGGTATGCGTGTTGTCCGACAACAATCAGACCTCGAAGATGCTTTCAACCGTGCCACATCCGAAGCCAAGTCTGCCTTTGGAAATGGAACTGTTTTCGTGGAGCGATTCCTTGACAAACCAAAGCACATCGAGGTACAACTTTTAGGAGACAACCACGGAAACATTGTTCACTTGTACGAGCGTGACTGTTCCGTACAACGAAGACATCAAAAGGTGGTAGAAATTGCACCAGCTAAGGATCTTCCACAAGAAGTCAGAGACAACCTCTTGAATGATGCTGTCAAACTTGCCAAGTCGGTCAACTACCGTAACGCAGGAACAGCTGAATTCTTGGTTGATCAACAAAATCGATACTACTTTATTGAAATCAACCCACGTATTCAAGTCGAGCATACTATCACGGAAGAGATCACTGGAATTGATCTTATTGCAGCACAAATTCAAATCGCTGCAGGTGCAACACTTTCTCAATTGGGTCTTACACAAGATCGCATTTCTACCAGAGGTTTTGCTATCCAATGTCGTATTACCACAGAAGATCCTGCGCAAGGATTCTCACCAGATACTGGAAAGATTGAGGTCTACCGCTCAGCTGGTGGTAACGGAGTTCGTCTTGATGGTGGTAATGGATTCGCTGGCGCTGTTATTACTCCTCATTATGACAGGTTCGTAACGGTTCTCCCATTTTCTTCCAATAGCCACCCCTGAAAAGCAATTACTGACTTCATATATAACAGCATGTTAGTCAAGTGTACATGTCAAGGATCTACTTATGAGATTGCTCGAAGAAAGGTTCTTCGTGCCTTGATCGAATTCCGTATCCGTGGTGTTAAGACTAACATTCCTTTCTTGGCTACTTTACTTACTCATCCTACCTTCATCGAAGGCAACTGCTGGACCACATTCATCGACGATACCCCTGAACTGTTCGATTTGGTCGGTAGTCAAAATCGTGCCCAGAAGTTGTTGGCTTATCTCGGAGATGTTGCCGTAAATGGAAGTAGCATTAAGGGTCAAATGGGAGAGCCAAAATTCAAGGGTGAAATCATCATGCCAGAACTCTTTGATGAGAGCGGAAAGAAAATCGATACGTCTGCACCATCTAAAAAGGGATGGAGAAACATTCTTCTTGAACAAGGTCCTGATGCATTTGTAAAAGCTGTCAGGGCAAACAAGGGGTGCCTTATCATGGACACAACATGGCGTGATGCCCATCAATCGCTTCTTGCCACTCGTGTTCGAACAGTTGATCTTTTGAACATTGCAAAGGAGACTAGCCACGCTTACAGCAACTTGTTCAGTTTGGAATGTTGGGGTGGAGCTACCTTTGATGTTGCCATGCGTTTCCTTTACGAAGACCCATGGGACAGACTCCGAAAGATGAGAAAGCTTGTTCCAAACATTCCATTCCAAATGTTGTTGCGTGGAGCCAACGGTGTTGCTTACTCCTCCTTACCTGATAATGCTATCTATCACTTCTGTGAGCAAGCAAAGAAGCATGGTGTTGATATTTTCAGAGTCTTCGATGCGTTGAACGACATTGATCAGCTCGAGGTTGGTATTAAGGCCGTACACAAGGCCGGTGGTGTTGTTGAAGGAACTATTTGTTATTCAGGTTAGTGATTTATCCACCGTGATACGGTTACCGAATACTGACTTCTAAATTAGGTGACAGTACGTACTACCCAATGCTTGACTCGGCTTGGATGTTTCATTCCTTATGTTTCATTTTCGTCTTCTCACTTTTGATATATCAACACCCCCTCCCTATCTTCCCTTTCTCCCCTTCTCTCCGTACTCTGAAGGATCTTTAAATTGTTCATACCCGTTACGACATTGGAGAGTTCTACCAAAAGAGGAATTTTACTTTTGGGAGTATTCTCAATTGTTATGGCAGTTTGGACATTTAATCCCTTCATGAGATTCAAAATATTCCCTTCTGGAGTGCATTCTCAGTGGCACAGCTTCGTCCGAACACTGAAAGTTCCGTGGGACGGGCAAAGCTACATTCAACCTAAAGGGTCTTTTCAAACACTGAAACTATCTTGGACATTGAAAACCTTCATGGGGCTGAAAGAATTTTTGTTCTCCTGAAGCATCTTTTCAAATAATATTAGCTCGAAAATTGAGGCTTGGTTGGGGGATCGCGCTTTGGCTCTCCATTTTCTCTGTTGGAGCATCTTTTCAGTTTTTGATATGAAGTTGGACATTGAAGTCTTCTCAATTGTCCATAACATTTCAGACATTGAAGAGCTTTATGGCGTGATAGCTTTGCTTTCAATTTTCTTTCCAAACCACCTCATTGATGAACGTTTACTGACTTACTCTTGCTCTAGTGTTGAACCCAGCAAAGAAGTATAACTTGGAATACTACTTGTCTTTGGCCGAAAAGTTGGTGGACCTTAAGATTCACATCTTGGGTGTTAAGGACATGGCTGGTGTTCTTAAACCAAGAGCTGCTACCTTGTTGATTGGAGCCCTTCGCAAGAAGTACCCAGACCTTCCAATTCACGTTCACACTCACGATTCTGCCGGTACTGGTGTTGCATCTATGGTTGCTGCAGCTACTGCAGGTGCTGATGTTGTTGACACCGCTACTGATAGTTTGTCTGGCATGACATCTCAACCAAGTGTTGGAGCCCTTCTTGCTTCATTGGAAGGAACAGATCTTGACCCAGGTTTGAATGTTCACCACATCCGCGCTATCGACACATACTGGCAGCAACTTCGTCTCATGTACTCACCGTTTGAGGCTGGTTTACATGGACCTGACCCGGATGTGTACGAACACGAGATCCCAGGTGGTCAATTGACCAACATGATGTTCCAAGCATCTCAACTTGGCCTCGGTGCTCAATGGGCCGAAACAAAGAAAGCTTACGAGCAAGCCAACGACTTACTTGGTGATGTTGTCAAGGTCACTCCAACATCTAAGGTTGTTGGTGATTTGGCACAATTCATGGTTTCCAACAAACTCGACTTCGATTCTGTTCAAGCTAGAGCTAGTGAATTGGACTTCCCAGGTTCCGTCTTGGATTTCTTTGAAGGTTTGATGGGTCAACCATACGGCGGTTTCCCAGAACCATTGAGGACTAACGCTCTCCGTGGCCGACGCAAGCTTGAGAAGCGCCCTGGTCTTTACCTTGACCCATTGGATTTGGCTAAAATTAAGAAAGATATCCATTCCAAGTGGGGCACTGTCACTGAGTGTGATGTTGCAAGTTACGCCATGTACCCCAAGGTCTTTGAAGATTACCGAAAATTCATTCAGAAGTTCGGTGATTTGAGTGTCCTTCCAACTAGATATTTCCTTTCAAAACCAGAAATTGGCGAGGAGTTCCATGTTGAGTTGGAGAAGGGTAAGGTTTTGATCTTGAAACTTCTTGCTGTTGGTCCATTGTCAGATACCACTGGACAGAGAGAGGTTTTCTATGAGATGAACGGTGAAGTCAGACAAGTTACTGTTGATGACAACAAGGCAGCTGTTGAGAACACAAGCAGACCAAAGGCTGATCCAGGAGATTCAAGCCAAGTTGGAGCTCCTATGGCAGGTGTGGTCGTTGAGTTGAGAGTTAAGGATGGTGGTGAGGTTAAGAAGGGTGACCCTCTTGCTGTTTTGAGTGCCATGAAGATGGTGAGTTTTCCCTCTATGAGTCGCCATTATTGATGGAAAGAATTATTTTACTAATCATGAATTTAGGAAATGGTTATATCTGCACCACATGCTGGTAAGGTTAGCAGTATGCAAATCAAGGAGGGAGATTCAGTTGGTGGTTCCGATCTTATCTGTAAAATCGTTAAAGCAGGCGAGTAAATAGCGAATGCAAGTTTGGACGGGTTATTATGATATCAGATGTTGGTAGCGTTGATGGAATGAATGGATTATGATTGCTGGGTCTGAAAGTTATTGCTTAGTAGGACCATGAATTGTACCTAGCTTTATAGAATTATGAATGATTTTAACAATTTGAATGGTGATACTGTTGGTATCTACAATTTGGCTGTGTGAAAAGGAAGAGCAAATGATTACGAGTTGTTCCTTGTGTTAGATTGTCTATATACGTTAATATCCACTCACACCTTTCTAAAGCTTCCAGAAAATATTCATAAGTCATTGGTCTTCAACGCTCTCAATATGCCAATAGCAAGCATGCAATCTGACTTCTCCACACACACACACCTTCTTATATGCAGTGGTATCAGTAGTCAGATCAGCTAACCTAGATATTAAAATCAAGAATTTTTTCGATTTTTTTTCGAATAGAAGTAAGCAGTTGTTAGTTTGAGGGGAAGGGAGGGATTTATGGTTTATGGTTTATGGTTTGTGGGTTGGGAGATGGGAGATGTATGTAAGGTTAAAGTAGGATTGAAATAATAGAAATGTGTGGAGTCTTGATGGATGGGATGGGGTTTAAGGGGGATCTTAGGAGAAGCCGGGTTTGTCTGCGGTTCGTTTGGGAAACCCAAGACCCCAGATACCAATAAATAGAATGCTATGGAACTGTTGAAGGCATAAGAAAGAATGG